AAATTAATCACCATTTTCAAAGATCTTTTGAGATCTTCAGTAGAGGGAAAGATTTTCCCTTTGGAGACCAGGAAAGCATATTGTTTGACATTTCAATTTGCATTTCTCTGATGATAAGTGATATTGAACATTTTTTCATATGGTAGCCATTTGTTTTTTTTTTTTTTTTTTTTTTTTTACTTTGTTTTTTTCCATACTAGTCAGTACGATGGAAGGGGGAAAGAGTTGTTAAAATAAATGACTTCCTCCTTCTTCCAAGTTTTAATGCTTGTAGAAATGATGTGAGAAAGCAAGTTAACCAGGGAAGTTTTAAGCATCGATTCTTTGCTTTAAGCATATATTCTGAAAGGAAATGTATTGAGGACTTCTTGCTGGATTAGAGAATTAATTTCTTAAATCAATAGCTGCGGGCTGAAGCACTTTTTAGCCAACCCCTTTTACTTAATGTAGTTCTCAGTACAAGTGTGAAGGGGGAGTTCTAAGAAAGAGTGAATGAGAAACAGGTCTAAGAAACCTTAGCTCTGTGTATACTACCTTTGCAAAGTACAGTGTAATGCATATCAAGGCATTTCTGTTTCAGGAGGATGAATGTGCCGGCTGTACAGACGGAACCTTTAAGGGCACGCGGTATTTCACCTGTGCCCTGAAGAAGGCGCTGTTTGTTAAACTGAAGAGCTGCAGGCCTGACTCTAGGTTTGCGTCACTGCAGCCTGTTTCCAATCAGATCGAACGCTGTAACTCTTTAGGTATTTGAATGTTTTCCCTTTACTTACCAATCTGGAATGATTCTAGTTCTAATCTTACACCGTTTTGCATTATTAGGTGATGGTGACATTGTTTAAATATCTTTCTTAGCAGTGCTCATCAAGCTTTTAAGTCAGTAAAAATTGTTTCTTGGTATATAAGAAAGTTATCATAAGAGGTGACATTTTAAAAAAGTGTTCAGTATTAATCAGGAAAGGTGTTTGGGACTTGAAAAGTTAAAAATAGTGGGGTTTATTTTTCTCTTCTTGTTGATTACAGACATTTACTTTTCAGCAGTGCAGGAGGTAGAAACTGAAATGTGGCTGCCTTTTTGGCACTGATTTCCCTCTCGATGTGTGTTTAAGTACACCAATAAGCATATTTTATCAAGAACTCAGAGTGAGTGTAAGTAATTTTAGATTGATTGGTGGAGGACAGCTCTCCTCAGCACTTGCAGTAGGTGGCAATTTCTTGACGCTGTCCCTTTTCAGTTGTGGATAATAGTGGCGAAGCATCTTGAGGGTTCAGCAAGTGTAAACAGAAAAGCCATCTTGATGAAAAACATTTTTCTTTATGTTGAAATAGTACTTTCAAATTTTTTGTTTCTTTTCAAACTTGAAAAGAAAGCACTTTCAGATAAATAATAAAATATTTGAGAAAGAAAATATTTTACTTGACAGATGCTTTTTGCATGTTACTTAATACTCCAAAGTGTTTTTTAAATTACAGAGGAAGCGCAGTTGAAAATGAACAATAGCAATTTTTACAAGCCAAGCTGAACAGCAGTTAACCAAAGCCTATCTTTAACTTGAAGTTGAGGAATAAATTTTGCTCAAAATACCAAAACATTTTAAAATGAAGAAATATATATGGGAATACATATTGCAATAGTTTAAAAGAATTGTTTTCATTTACATTTTTCAAAATCTTTTCAGCATTTGGAGGCTACTTAAGTGAAGTAGTAGAAGAAAATACTCCACCAAAAATGGAAAAAGAAGGTTTGGAGATAATGATTGGAAAGAAGAAAGGTATCCAGGGTCATTATAATTCTTGTTACTTAGACTCAACCTTATTCTGGTAAGTTTAAAATTAATGCAGGTAGAGGTAGTGTCCTACAGGCAGGGATATATGTGTGTGTGTATATGTGAAAGAAACTGCCAACTGCCTCTGAGTAGAGAAACAAGATGATTAGGGGTCAGGAAAGAAAGGAAGATTTGCTTTTCATAATATACTGCTTGTAATTTATTGAATATTATCTCAAGTTGCTATCCAAAACATTACCATAAAAAGTAATGTAATAATAATGAGTAAGAGGTGAGTGATACTGTTACAAGTGGAGCAGTTACAGCAAAGTAGCTGGGAAATCTTTGTGTGTATAACAAATAACATGACTTGCGATAGGCCATTGGATGATGTGCTGTATTTGTTTTAGGAGGTAGAGGCAATCATAAAACTACATTATTTTAGAAAATTATTTTCAGTAGAATCACTGTTGCCTGGTGTAGGTAGTTTTTTCCAGAGTGAAACAACTTAACATGGCAAGAATCTTTAGGCTCTGAGGATTGTACACTGCCAGTACAGTCATGTTGTAAGAATTAGGAAGTTAATATGGGATGTTCAGATTTTTAAAGTAGGGAGAATAAAACTGACAGGCCATTTTGTTTGCAAAATACTTTCAGTTTCTCAGATATGTTAACAAAAATAAGCCTTGCAGCATTGATAAAATATTCTTTAGATTTCCTGATAAAAATCTGTATTAACAGCCAAATTTTCTTTTTCTTTGATACCAGCAAGTTATTGCTATTAGTCACTCACAAGTGATTTTAACATTTAAAGAAATTTAGATCTCTGCAAATGAGCATGGGGAGAGAGAAGTATGATACTGGGTAGTGTTCGCCTTGCGAGGTAGTTTCCAAACTTCCTCCTCTGCTGTCTTGTCTGTAATTACACTCAGATTTGTAGGCCCTCTTTCAACTTTTGCAAAGAAGTTTTCTTTCTTAATATGCTGTAGGCACGTTTTTATGTTTTAATAATGTCAATCTATAGTTTGCCTTCTCAGTACTAGTATTCTCCTTAACTGAAAGGATATCTAGGTCTCTGTGATTGAATCACGGGAATCTTCACAGGGGTTTTGGGTACTTGTGTTAATGAAAAACATAAATTGTTATGTTATTTGTTTTAGGCTTTGCTTTTTTTTTCCTCTTCTCCTTTTTAGAATTGTTTCTTGAAAAATACATTTCTAGCATGAAGAAAGATATTCTTTTTATTTTTCAGTTTATTTGCTTTTAGTTCTGTTCTGGACACTGTGTTACTTAGACCCAAAGAAAAGAATGATGTAGAATATTACAGTGAAACTCAAGAGCTACTGAGGACAGAAATTGTTAATCCTCTGAGAATGTAAGTAGAAGATTCATAGTTACTTTGCCTTTAGATGGCGTCCTATTTGCTGTTTACTGGTACAGTAATTAATTTATATCCTGCTTTCATGTAATAAGAAATGGATGAAAATTAGTTCGCTTGGTGAAAAATAAATTGTTTTAACCTTTGGTCCTTGTACTTTTTTTACTTATTTTTTTTTTTTTTTTTTTGAGACAGAGTCTCATTGTGTTGCCTGGGCTAGAGTGCCGTGGCGTCATCCTAGCTCACAGCAACTTCAAACTCCTGGGCTCAAGCGATCTTCCTGCCTCAGCCTCCCGAGTAGCTGGGACTACAGGCATGCGCCACCATGCCTGGCTAATTTTTTCTATATATTTTTAGTTGTCTGATTAATTTCTTTCTAATTTTAGTAGAGACGGGGTCTTGCTCTTGCTCAGGCTAGTTTCGAACTCCTGAGCTCAAACAGTCCGCCCGCCTCGGCCTCCCAGAGAGCTAGGATTACAGGCGTAAGCCACCATGCCCAGCCCTTTCTTTACTTATTTAATTTGTTAAATCTTGCCAAGGTGTAGGACATAGTATATTCCATGAAATTATTTAAACCATTTTGATAGAGTATACCATAATTTAGTAATTGCAGTAGGTTTAGAAAAGCTGATATATAGTACTTGGGGTTCTTATCTTTTGAAGTAGTTTATTCCATCAGTTAGTTTATTACCCCTAACAGTAATCATGCTGTATATTGGTATAGTCTGGCTTCTTAAACTTAATTTTATTTGAAAGAAAAGGAACGAGGGACCAAGTGCTGTGGCTCATGCCTGTAATCCCAGCACTTTGGGAGGCTGAGGTGAGAGGCTTGTTTGAGGCCAGGAGTTGGAGACTAGCCTGGGCAATATAGCAAGACACTGTATCTACCAAAAATAAAAAAAAATTAGCCAAGCATGATGGTGCACGCCTGTAGTTCTAGCTACTTGGGAGGCTGAGGCCAGAGGATCCCTTGAGCCCAGATGGTTGAGGTTACTGTGAGCTATGATCGTGTCACCGCACTCCAACCTGGGTGACAGAACAAAACCCAGTCTCAAAAAAAAAAAAAAAGAAAAGGAGCAAGGGAAATTTTTATTTATAGAATAGCTAGTATTTAATGCTTTTGTATTAATACTAGCAACAGATGTGATATAGTTTAGTAACATGTTAAAGGAACATATTTAGACCTGCCTCCACCTCCCTTAAAAAGGTGATTCTTTTTCCATTTCCTAGTTTAGGAATTATAAATGTGTCTTATTTTGGCCCCAGGAAGCAATTTGTAATGGTACAAGCACAAGTGACAGGAGACATCTAGTAAAGACTTTGAATAGGTGATAATAGTGATATGTGATAATGTCACATTATAAAATTTAAACTATGAAGAATTAGGACCATAGATCATAAAACAAATTTGTTCATACTGGGGTATAGAAAGCAAACTATGTAACGTAAAGTCCATATGAAGATAAATTTAAATCTTATGACATACTTTTCTTATTTAACAATTAAAATAAAAAATAGTTTTATGTAAGCTTTTTACCAAAAACAGCAGAATACTGAAATAAATGAACATTCCAAATGACCTACTATATCACATGACTAGGAAAGTAAATTATCAGAGAATAAATGTCTCTGCTTATATCTTTTGTTTTCCTTAAATTCTGTAATGAATTCTCTATATCTTAACTTTTAAAGATAACTATGAGTCTTGATTTTTACATTAATTATTTTGTCTTATGCAAATTTTCAAACATACTTTTTATTTTTTACCCTCAAGTAATATTGGAACAAGACAGGTCAAATCCAAAATTCTAAGGCACTTCCTTCCTTCGAAAATACTTTAATTTCATTAATAAACATTCTTTGAATGCTATTGTCCAATGAGGTAAGAATCATAATTAATCACACTTTGTCCCCTGTCCACAGTAAGAAACTTGTCAGATGCCCTGTTGGGATCCAGATTCCCTTGTCTGCAGCATTCATATCTGTATTGTAGCTGACTGGTTTTATTCGGTGCTGAAACCTCTGCTTTCTCCATTGATTGCAAGCTTCTCAATGGCAGAGTTTCTGTGTAGTCGTTTTGTATTCCCAGTGGCTAGCAGGTTAGATTACTGCGTTAAGTGGTAGATGCTCAATACATGTTGGCTGCAGGGAGCCAATGAGTGGATGAATAGTCAGTATAAGAAATGGATATAAGATTAGCTAGTTCTGACTTGCCCTTATTAAACCCATGGTGGCCACAAAGGTCTCTTCTGAAGTGATTTTCAGAATTAAAATTTTACATTGACATTAAACTTAGTGAATATGCCCTGTATTCAGACAAAGATGAGAGAAAATGTCATAATTATGCTGATACGGTTTGATTGCAGATTTTAGATTTTCAATTTCTTATTAATGCCGTCTCCCATTTCCCTGTGGCTATTTCACCCTTTAGTATTAAAAGGACTTTCTCTCTCAAAATCATATACTCATCACAAACTTTTTAAAAAATATTTTTCTTGTGTTAATATGTGACAAATATAAGGCGTATAATAGTGTCTGGGATAATTCTGGTTCTGTATCTTTAATTTTTCAAACCTCAAGAAGCAGCCTATAATTGTATTTTCAAAACAGTTGTCTAGCCTATTGATTTATGACATGTTGGAGTTGTATGAGAAATGTATAATTATCAAGGTGTGTTATATAATTTAATATATATGCCACTATCAATTAATTAATGTTTTTTACTAACATAGATTTGGATATGTGTGTGCCACAAAAATTATGAAACTGAGGAAAATACTTGAAAAAGTAGAGGCTGCCTCAGGATTTACCTCTGAAGAAAAAGGTGACTATTTTAATTTATAGTATATTCATTAAAAATACCTTGAAATCATATGCATTTACTAAATTATTAGCTGAAATGTATGTGTTGTTTGGGTTTTATTTTACAAATTTCTTTCTATGTGATATATTATTTTCTCCACTTTTTGTAAATTCTTCCTCTCTTCTAAGAGTGAATGATGATGTGGAATAATGAACCCCTTTCAGAAGGTGGCTGGTTCTAGGATATTAAATGCTTAACATATTGTCTGCCACACTAGAAAGAAAAATTTTTCCTTGGGGCCACAGTGTTTTATTACTAAAATAGAATAAAATCTTTGAAAACAAAATGATCCTCTCTAATTTAATGAAAAAATTGTCATTTTTTATTGTTTTCTGTGTGTAAGTTATATGCAACTTGAAAAACAGTTCACTTCACACAGTTCCCAAGGTAAAGGGACGTGTGAGTTACATATGCTTCACGAGGCCCCGGGCTCAAAACTACCGTGAGTTAAATACAACTCACGTGGCAGTTAACGTTAAATAAAAAATTCTTCCCTTTCCATCCAGCAATAATATTCTGAATGTTCCTCTTTCTGTGGTGAAGGGTTGTGTTGAGTCATCTACATTTTCCTACTTTGTTTTCCTTGTTATAAAAGGGAGTTACAAACCTGCTGACGAGGATTAAGTTTAACAGTTTTAATCTCTTCATAGCTAATTGACTTATAGATTCAGTGCTTGATTTTGAACTTGTTAGCAGCATATTGTAACCAGCTATAATGTTTCAAGGCTTGAAAATTATTTAAATAGTGGGAAAAAACAGGGCACACTTCAGGTTTTGTTCCACTTATCTTATACTCCCCAAATAAATTAATTATTTCACTATTCATGAATTATTATACCCTTTTAAATGCAATAAAGTTACAACAAATTTGAAACATAATACTTTAAAATATCCTTTGTATTTTTCCTTTGTCAGGAAAACTTGAAAACCGTGTTTTAATTGAGATAATATTGAAGGAATGAAATTGAATTCAGTATAGAAATATGACTTATAAATAAAAAATAGAATGATTAAAAATTTTGTCTGTGACTGATTTGATTTTATATTTTCTCCTAGATCCTGAAGAATTCTTGAATATCTTATTTCATCATATTTTAAGGGTAGAACCATTGCTAAAAATAAGGTAACTTTTAAATTGTTATAGAAGCACTGGAAAAGTAGATAGTCCTCACTTCTACTGCCGTCACTGGAGTAGAAATGATTTCTTTGGTGATTACTTCATGTTGTATTTATGCAGAGCTCTTAATATGCTAGGTGAATATAATGCAATTAATTTTATTCATTGTCCTCTCTATGGTACCATACTTTATTTGAAGAACAAATCCAATGTAAATGTGTACTTTTAATTTTAAATGTAATGATAAGTATTATTGCAAATCATTTTCTTATGAAACTGTATATAAATATTTTTGTAACTTAAATTAATGAACCTTTTAGGAGAATCTCATTCTAACCTAATCAAATACTGGGAGAGCACCGTTTTTGTCTGCCTATCAGAGAATTAATTTAGCCTTAAGTTAGCTTTCTTGTTCTTACCTGTGTAACTTGGTCTTTTTCCGCCTCCATGTTGAATGAAAGCCTTGAATTAAATGCAATAAAGTTCTTAGTGAAATGTTCTAAATGGCTAAACTTTTAGGATAGTTTGAATGTTCATAGTCTAAAACAGTGGTCCTTTTTACATTTTAACCTGGGTTTCTCTATTGAGAATCTTGGTCACATACTATACATTTCCCCAAAAGCTAACTGTAGATGAGTACTCTTACTCACCTATGTCCTAAGTGACGTTTGATGCCAGTATTGAGTTGATGGGCAAGGAGAAGGAAGGGTGGATACGGCCACAATTGTGGTTTGATATTGTTTGGGAAATTGTAACTAATGAAATGAGACATAGTACATAAATATCAAGAGCTCACATTTATTATCTATTCAAAGATGGTAATAACCATATGTGTACCTAGAAAATCTTAAAGAATTGTCTAGAAAATACTATAATTAACAAAAGAATTTGTAATTTAGCTGTGTAAAATAGCCATGGAAAAATCAATAGCATTTCTGTATACCTTCAAGAAAATATGAAAAAGAATAATTTTATACTTCATAAAAGTATAAAATACCAAGAAATCAATTTTATTGAGAGAGATTTTTAAAAAGACTTATGCAGAGCTAAAGGGGGATTTGATTAATTAGTGAGAAAGATTGTGTTCTAGGAAGGAAGATTAAACAAATATGTTAATTTTTATGAATTAATTTGCACATAAATAAGATCTTAACTTTATTTTTAGAACTTAGGAAAGTGATTTTAGAGTTCTCTACAAAATGAAGTAGGTAAAAATATTGAAGAATTGTTTAAAAAAAGAGTTCTATTATAAGCTATAAAGGCAAAGCAATAGACATTAAAATAGCGTGTGATACTGGCATAAAATTAGAAATATGGATTAATAAAACTAGATAGAAAGCTCAGAAATAAAATTAATGATATGTAGTATTTCAGTGTCTACACTGAAAGGTCCGCTTCCAAACACAAAAGGGAAGGAAAGATATATTTAATATATGATATAGCAAACCTAGCAGGTACTTTGGGAGAAAAAAGTCAATTTTGTTTTTCATTTTAAAGAGATAAATTACAGATGCTTAAAACATTTGTTTTCATCTTTTTTTTCTAGTTCACATACCTAAGGGATGTAATACACTCCCAGTAATAACATAGGCTGAATACTGCCAGGCACATCCAGGAATACATCTCAGAGTCTGAAGGCCTTGTGGATTTCAAAGGGCCCTGGGAAGTTCTTACACCCCTTGAAGTGTACACTGTCCCACCCACCCCCTAAGCAACCTCTTCATATTGAGAATCACTGTTTAAAAAATAATTTTAAGTTAGCTCTTTTTTTTCAAATGTCATTCTTCCCCTTCTCTAGCCTTTCTTTCTGACTGAGGGAGAGTCAGCTAAGGCAACAAATAGGAGGATGGGTACCTTAAAAATCTGCAATAATAAAATAGTCTAAAAGAGCTTGAAAGGTATCTAAAAGATATTCTTAAATGATTGAAGAGACAAAAGAAGAACTAGATACCAATGGAAAATAAAAACAGATTTGGTAACAGACAAAATCAAATAAACTAAAACAAAATTTCCAGAAATAGAATATATATCATGATGAGTGGGATGGGTACCTCACTGAATGCAACATACACAGCCGAAGAGAGAATCGCTCATTCGGAAGATAGAGTTGAAAAAAGTACCTAGAATGTAGCCCAAAGGGATAAAGAGTTAGAAAACAAGAAAAAGTACATGAGATACATGGAAGATAGATTCTGACTGGAGTTCCAGAAAGAGACACTAGAGAGAATAGGGAAAAAGCAATATTTCAAGGAATAATAGCTGAAGAATTTTCAGAATTTTTAACAGACTTTAATTCTAAGAGTAAAGATATTCAGAATTCCTGAGCAGGAAGAACTAGGACTAAATAACCATTCAGAGACTTACCGAGGATATACTTTAGTAAAACAAAATTGAATTTAGAATAAGGGAGTGGAATGCAAGAAATAAGGAAGAATGAAGAAATTGGTAAATTTGGGTAAATTAAGCCTTCACATCTAAAAGATGTGAATAATAGTGATAATAATAGTGATGAATTGCATGTGCAGTGTTAAAGACAAAGTGAAACTAAAGTCATAGCCACTAACGGGAAAGCATGGTGATTGGCAGCAAAATATTCCAAGAAAAATGATGGAATAACATTAGCAATCAAGAAGCAAAGACGTAGGGAAACTTTCAGATTGTATTACCGGGTAACTCTCATTGTAGGACGTGGTCTGGTATTCTTAGTCTATGGACATATCATATCTGTATTATATTCCATATTGCTGGGTAACCCAGAATCTGTGAAGAATTTTAGTGGCTATCCATTATGGTCTGTGTCACAAAGGTAGATAGAGCCAAATGATACCATTCCAAGTGTTTTTATCTTCTCTGTAATTGTCCATTTTATTTTAAAGTTAACACATTTGTACCCTTCTGCCCTTTGGTTTTCCTCAGTGGAAAACTGCAATCTAAATTGCACAGTTTTGTTCACTAGCACCAACTTTGTTGTCATTCTCTAGGGTTTTACCCTTCTAAAACTTTAGAAATGAGGTTTGAGTGAGTGTTGTTCCCCCTCCCCCTTCTGCCCCAGTGTCACAAAGCCGTTGTCTTCTCCATCCTGGTTTCTGGGTGCCTTCGCTCAAGTGTCTGCAACTCCGTGCTCCCTTCGACCACCGTGCCTTCTCTCCCGCTGCCATTATTGTTTCTACTTGTAACTACTGACTCTACTACTTTCTCGTTTCTTAGTTTCCTGTCCTATTTTTTTCTGTTACCTATTAATTTTCTATGCTTTTGGGCTTTCACACAAAAATTCTGGCCTTTTGTAGTCATCAACTGCCAAGTAAAATATTGGTATAGCATAACCTTCATGTTTTTTGGTTATCATCTGTTTTTATTTGTTGTAGGGTCTCAAGAATCTCCTGTTTTGTTACCAAATAAATTTTGTTCATTTTGGGTGCAAGTTGCTTTGGGAAGCTGAAGTTTTCTGCAGTCTGGTCTTTGAATAGCTGAAGTTTTCTTTGAAAACTATGTTAATATTTTCCCCCCAAAACTTGAAATCTAGATATAAGTCTAGATATAAACAGTCTGACTTTATATCCAGAAATTCTACTAAAAAGGTAAATGGTAGACTTAAAGATTATGAATCCTTTTGATATAGTTAGTCTTAAAGATTATCAGCGTTCTGTAGTAAAATACTGAGAAGGAAAAATGTTTAATGTAAAGGTGACACTGTGATTGGCATATACAGGGTGTCCCGAAAGTCACCATACATAGGGAAAATGGGAAATTGTAGCTAAAGGTACCTTTACTTACAAAATATTCATTATAAAATTTTACAGAATTTTTCCTTTGTATGGAGACCTTTGGGACACCCTGTAGTAGGCATTTACTTGGTACTTGTTGACTAAATGAGTGACCATTTAAAGGACAACATACTTTAGCAGAAAGAATGGTAAGTGGTTGTTAGCTTACTGTTACAACCCAGGTGGTTATACCTGGGTTCCTTACCTAGTTCTTCCTTTGACATGCTGCGAAGTCATTCTCCTTCCCTGGATCTCAGGGCCTTCATTTTAGAAATGAAAGTTTGGTCTAGAAGGTCTTCCAAGGGTCTGTCACATTCAGGAATGCATTGGTGTAAGATTTTATTTTCCTGTTTTGAGCATTAAATGCAATTTGCTTCTTTTTAGACTTGGATGGTGAAGTTGAACTAAGTGATTTTAGCTTCTGGTTATTATTGTTCACACAGTGCTTCTTGATTGGGGTTATTATTCCATTATTTTTCTCCTGATAACTAAGAGAACTTTTCAATATAAAAACCAAAACAAGAAATCATTTATGAGGTCTTGAGCAAAGTACATTTGATTATTTTATCCAAATAGTTTTCTTTTCTTCCTGTCGTTCTTACTATCCCAAACTGCATCATCGATTGTATGGTTTTTCTGTTCTCAAATACCACTGGAACAACTTCACATTTTGATTTAATCATTTAATAAATAAATTATATTTTTTTCTGCATGCTTTTAGATCAGCAGGTCAAAAAGTACAAGATTGTTACTTCTATCAAATTTTTATGGAAAAAAATGAGAAAGTTGGAGTTCCTACCATTCAGCAGTTGTTAGAGTGGTCTTTTATCAATAGTAACCTGAAATTTGCAGAGGTTAGTAATACTCACTGTATTTTATATGAAAGCCCTTAGGATTCTTAAGACTATTGGTAGAGTCAATATCTATTGATTTTAACCAGCTGAGAACAGTATGAAACACAAACTGTTACGAAAACACAAATTTAAAAAAATGTGCAATGTTTCAACTTGTCCATATAAAAAATACCTTATGATTAAGATTGAACTTTTTGGATTTTTGGTGCCAAAGAAAACACCAAGCTAATTTGTAACTTGAAAACTTTTAAGTCGTTTAAAGCAAAAGGAAGATTTATGTTTTTTTAAAAAATTATCATTTTACCCAAGCATGTTATCTGAATATATCAAAAGATATAAAGAAATAACTGTGGCTGTTAAGGTTTTACCAAAACATTCCTTCAGAAATAAATATAATAAAACATAAGCATGTACTACTAAAATAATGAAGGCACTCAGTAGAGAGCAAAAGAAAAATAATTTATATTCATTAATAAGCCAATATAAATGAATTTATTATTGAAATACAAAGAATTGTGTCTTTCTGTGACAGTTTCTGTATCACATTTGCAAAAACAATTTCTCCCAAACCTTTATTAAATATAAACCCAAAGTAAAATGCCACTATCAGTAGTCCTCATATTATTTGAGACCCAAGATTGTTGAACTTCCTGACCGCTGGGTCTTGGTGAGTCCATGTGATCACAGACTACTCGACTTGTGGCCTGTGAGTGCTGCGTGTCTGCTGTGTGGCTCCTGTTTTGCAGGCGATCAATTTATGGCAAAAATCACCGCTTGATTTGACAGACATGACTATTTTGGTTTTATAGGGAAATTTTTTTTCAGCACGTTGATTCTAAAAATATGTATCTTTTTTATAGGCACCATCATGTCTGATTATTCAGATGCCTCGATTTGGAAAAGACTTTAAACTGTTTAAAAAAATTTTTCCTTCTCTGGAATTAAATATAACAGATTTACTTGAAGACAGTAAGTATAAGATTTTTTAGTTTGTTTTGTTGTTTTTTAGGAAATAGTCTGTCAGGTCCTTCTCGTTAGTTGTGAGTAAGAGTCTAACTGGAGACAGTACTTCTAAGAGGCAATTCAGTATCTGAAGAGCCTGGAAATATCAAGCCAGTAATTTTAGTTCTAGGAATTTATTCTAAGAAAATAATCAGAATGAAAATAAATATTTTATATGCAAATATGCTTATTGTCACGTGATTAAGAAATTAGAAACAACCTAAACGTTAACAAGAGGGGAGTAGTCAAATGAGTTGAGTGTCTGTACAATGACACTACTGCCATGCAAATTCATAGTTTTGAAGACCAGAGTATATGAAAACAGTCATGATGTAATATTAAGTGAAAAGTACATTGGTACGTTTACAAGAGGGGCTCAGTATATGTGTATATATACAAACACACATACACACATAGTTATGTAAATATTCAGACATAAAATTATTAGAGAAAGTTTACAATAATATTGACACAGTTATCTATTGCTAATGGAAATTACAGGTGCTTTTAATTTTCTTATTTACACTTTCTTGTGTGTTTGAATTTTCATCAGTGGACGTTTTATAATGGGGGGAAAACACCCTACAATATGCTATTTTTAAAAAATTGTTACTTGGTCAGAGAAAATGTCTTTGAAGATATTTTGAATCCAAGAAAATTCCATTAAGAGGATGGGAGAGGGACAGACTTTTTTTGAAGCCATGAACATTATCCTTTTTAAAGTGTAACTTTTATTTTTAATCTTAATAAACAAATGCATTTTTAAAAGGCCCCGTAACTCCCACCCACTCCCCCCGTTTCAGCTCCCAGGCAGTGCCGGATCTGTGGGGGGCTCGCGATGTATGAGTGCAGAGAGTGCTACGATGATCCGGACATCTCAGCTGGGAAGATCAAGCAGTTTTGCAAAACCTGCAACACTCAAGTAAGTTTCCTTCACTTAATGGATGATCTCTTGTTGCACAATAACTTACTGAGAGTTAAAAACAGATTGCGGGTTTTGAAAAGTCTTCTAAAATCATAATTAACTTTAAAAAATTCATAATAAAATAGTATTATTTATGCCTCTTCTGACCCTTGACTTGATAGCTAAACATTGATCTTTATAAGGGGTATATTCAATAAGAGTAAGTAGAGTCCATCCATATGAAACATTGTAGCTCGTTAATGACATTCTCTTCATGGTCCATTTTAGGTCCACCTTAATCCCAAGAGGTTGAATCATAAATACAACCCAGTGTCACTTCCCAAAGATTTACCTGACTGGGACTGGAGACACGGCTGCATCCCTTGCCAGAAGATGGAGTTATTTGCTGTTCTCTGCATAGAAACAAGCCACTATGTTGCTTTTGTGAAGTATGGGAAGGACGACTCTGCCTGGCTCTTCTTTGATAGCATGGCGGATCGGGATGGTATTTAGAAAAACTTTCTTCTACATGTGGCAGCATTTTGGTTTGTAGTGGGATAGTTCATAGTGGGATGGCCTATTCTGAATACTAAGATATTTTGTGAGACAATCTTTTCAGGGTTATCTTGGTGACACAGTTTTAAGTCTTGAATGCATTAACAACCCTGCTACCTAAACTAAGGAATAATACTGTTGTGATATTTTGACATGCACGTGTTCTTTGTTAAAAAAAGAATCCTAAAATTCTTGCTTTAGGGCTGAGAGATTTTATTTTCAGCTTCGTTGTCTTACTTTCAGGCTCCTCTCATTTTTGCATAAGCCACAGTGGCCATGCACTGAGCACATGTGTGCCAGGCTCTCTGGGAGTACATTACTCATTCTACCTAAATCCTTGTGAGATGGGAATTATTCCCATTTTTCTGTTATTAAACCTTAGGTTAAAGGTGCCTAAGGTCACATAGCTTATATTTAACTCATTCTTTCTGATCTCAGTGCTTACGTTTTTTAATACTAAATGATGTTGCCTTCCAAATGACAAAAGTTAAGAAGAAAAGTAAATATCCTCTTTAGAAAAATAAGCCTGTTCTGCATTTAATGTTTCTTCCTGAAATGGGGAATATACTGTACTTGCCAGGCCATTTTCTAGGATGCTTAGTCATTATTTAACAAATACTTAATGAGCGCCGGAGTCTCTAGTAGGTTTGAGGAATGAAATGCTGTCAAAACAGCCACACCTCTACCTAGGCAAGGTTGCGAAGTGTGACTTCCATGTTCTTCCATTCTTCTTACCTCCGATTTTTCCTTTGGCCATTCTCTCCAGGTCTTCGGTGTGGCCCTCTAATAACCTAAGCCACACCCTGTGGCTGCCTCTTGACCAGAGGTCCAAGCCCTAAACCAAGAGTTTTCTGCCTTTTCTTAGCTCTCATATACTCGAGGGACATAGCCGAGCCCCATCTGTAGATGTGCCCCTGACTCAGTTATTAATAACATTTGCATTAAACAGCGTAACCCAAAAGCACAGAGATTTCAGACATTTAGAAAAGCCCCGGGGAGAGCGAAACCAGAAGGGCCTTTTATGGAACCTCTGAGACCACATCCTAGAGCACCATCACCCATAGAGTCTGATGACATGTAAAACAAACGGTGTTAGAGTTGTGCAAATACATTTTTAAAGTTTAGGAAAATATAATAGTGTTCAGTTTACTAGATCTGTTCTGAATTAGACAATCTCATGGTAAAGGGTTCTGGGCTGCTTGTGTCTGGGAGGGGATATGCAAGTGTGAAGAATTCAGCGTTGTGTGCATATGTGTAGATAACATTATTCCCTAACTGAACACAGAGAGAAGGCTGGAAACTAGGAGTGGGGCTTACCTCAGAATATGCGTCTTTTTACCAGTTTTATTCACTAATGGCCCCAGAGTCTTTTCAGAAACCAAAAATTGAGAAAACTCTCAAGAGTTAAGGGAGGCTTTAACTTCCAGCAATCAGAAGTAATCTTTTAGATCCTGAAAATTAGCCTTTTCCGAGTTATAGGACTGTGAAATTGTTTTGGTGCGGCAGGGCAGCAAAAGGGCTTAGAACTTTACTGCCCTAAAAAGAGCTCTTCCTCTTTGTCACAGGTGGTCAGAATGGCTTCAACATTCCTCAAGTTACCCCATGCCCAGAGGTGGGAGAATACTTGAAGATGTCCCTGGAAGACCTGCATTCCTTGGACTCCAGAAGAATCCAGGGCTGCGCACGAAGACTCCTCTGCGATGCATATATGTGCATGTACCAGAGTCCGACGATGAGTTTGTACAAGTAGCTGGGGTCATCGACAGAGGTGAAGAAATGGAAGGCAAAGTTTTAATGTTGCATTTCATTCAAGCTGGCAGTTCTGTTCAACGTCCATTGCCGGCAATGGATGTCTTTGTGGTGATGATCCTTCAGAAAAGGATTCCTGTGTTTAAAAACAAATTGCTTTTGTGTTACTGAAGTATTTAATAAGAAGCATTTTGCACTCTAGAAAGTATGTTTGTGTTGGTTTTTTAAGAAGTCTAAATGAAGTTATTAATATCTGAAGCTTTAAGTTAAGTGCATTAATCATATGATATTTTTGGAGGCATACAATTTTAATTGTGCAAGTTTAAAACCTCTTTTAGTCCATTGAGAATGTAAATAAATGTGTCTTCTTTATGGACCAAGGATATGAAATCATTTTTACTTTGTAGCTAACGGTTGCCTTGAGGAAGAAATAATTGGTTTTACTGAGTCTACTTTGAATTCAGTTATTAAAGGTGTACTGAGTTTGATTTGTTACTTCTTCCTATATAGCGCTCACTCCTGCATGTCTACAATCTGCTGAGTTTCTGTGTTTCTGCAATAGTGGTCAGAAAAATACTTAAATTCCCTTAACAGTGTTATTTTCTATTTGTTCTGGTTTTGAGATAAATGAATGATTCTGTCATAAAATGTCCATTTTTGATGTAATTTTCCTGGAGGATTAGGGTATTCAGCAATTGAAGCTCTTCATTCATGGTAGTAACTGTCAGCTAACAGGCTTTTTATTTTGAAGGCTCTATTTTATGAAATAGGGCATAGTAAATTTATGAAAGAATTGGGGTGATAAGTAAATAATCTCTCTATATACAAATATACAGTCCATAAGAAAATAAATTTGGCATGTAGAATTATTCATTAAATTTTCCCTGAGGAGATAGATATTTAAACCTCTATTATTTTCAGTAAGTTTGTCCAGAACTTAAGTTTGATCTGTCAGCCAGTATTCTCACTAAATTCAGTTTGGTTTCCCTTAGTTGCGAATCAGCTATTTTATTGAAATGTTAGCAACAGCTTCATCCTTCTTCTGATTAAGTAAGTAGAAAATGGATGTTTTCTTAAGTACTATCCATCGTGTGTGTATAGACCACAGTGGTTGTTGTGGACTAGAACCATAAATTATAAATGTCAATGGTGTGGAACGTATATTCTCTGAGTGTTGTTTTGTGGTATTGTTGTCTTTCTGGAATGACATCCTAACCATGCAGAAAGACAGAAAAGTTGTCATATGTATATAGCATATGACTTTATAAAATATTTAATGTGAGGAAAGTAGGAAGGATCTTTACAAACCCTGCAATTGTTTTTTTAAAGGCACTTTTACCCTTTGGTTTTATCATTCCATTTTGCTAATGTTTATTAGCTTTGTAAATCATAATAAGGTACAAAAACTCTTTCACCTTATAATTTCTTCATTTTTGAAATGAAAAATTACACACATTTTGCACACGGCTGTGTACTGCTGCGTGCTTAGGTTGGGGCGGTGAGAAGATCACGGCTCAGGGGTGAGGCTGAGGGACGCAGGGCTGGGGCTGGCCCTGCCTTCGTCGCCTTGGGATGCAGGATGTGTAAGGTCTCTCCTAGCTCTGACTATCTAGAAATCCAGTCATCCTGTAATAAATATGTGTTGGATGAAGACATGGATGAATGAGCTTGTCAATGTGATTTTAAAGGATTATCTGGAAAAATGATTAGGACTCCATGTAGAGTCGGCCCTTGGTGTCTGTAGGCTCCACATCCGTGTATTCAACCAACCAATAGTCGAAAATACTTTTAAAAAATATGGTTGTGTCTGTGTTGAACATGTACACGTTTTTCTCTTGCCATTATTCTCTAAACAGTGCAGCATAACAGTTATTGACACAGCATTTACATTGCGTTAGGTATCGTAAGTAATCTACAGATGATGTAAAGTCCATGGGAGAGTGTGTGAAGGTTCTATGCAGAGACTACACCATTTCTATAAGGGACTTGAGCATCTGCTGTTTTGGTAACCACAGGGATCCCAGAACCAATCCCATGTGGATAGTGAGGATGACTAGATAGGTAAGACTGGATTTAACAATTAGAGAGAGAAGGCAGTTCCTTTCCTGTAGAAACTAAAACAAAATACAAGTTGAGGAAGATCTGTCCTGCCCAGGCTCTCCTGGTAGAGGAGTCAAAGAAGCCTTGTTTGGACGCAGGCCTCGTTGCAGAGCCTGGGGTGTGGGCTCTTTTAAGTGGGAGGGGCTTCATCCATAAGTGATCTAAGGACATTTTCTTCAAGTGGTGCTCTACATCCTTTCAATGTTACTTGGGGAGAGAGCGCTCAGTACAGGGCTGCCTGGGGCCGGCTCTGGTGGTTCCTGGGGTGGCCTGGCCCTTGCCTTGCCCCTGAGCGCCATGGGGCCCGCTGGAAAGGCTTCTCCCCCGTCCACTCTGGTTCCCTTTGGGTGGTCCCTCCTTGTTCCTTGTTCCAGCAGTGCTTGGTTTGTCAAGTGGGGCATAATCAGGGCTGGACTGCATGACATGGGTGGCCAATGTGCCTGTTGATTTATTTAGTTTTTAACCTTAAATTTTCTTTAATATTTTTCTGTTGGGTTTCTAAATGTTTTGGTTATCCTTTTTTCATTATCATACCTACAATCAAGATGACAATAGGATAGAATCATCTTATTTATAATGGTTCATAGCTACAAATAGAAAATATAACAAGACATGTTCTTCCACCTCCAAATAAATGTATGTGTGTGTGTATGTATATGTGTGTGTGTGTGTGTGTGTGTGTGTGTGTGTGTGTGTGTATGAGGCAGAAGGGGAGAGGCAGAGGGAGAGGAGAGGGGAAGGAGAACAAACATGTTACGATACACAAGCTAGCTGTATCCAGTCCCTCACCGTCAGCTTTGTTAGGGAGTTTGACACCATCTACAAAAGAGTGTTTTATAAAAATCGGGAAAACACATTGAAAACCAAGATAAACAATAACAAAGATAAATTTGACATAGCTGTTACAGTTGCTAAGGCTTTTCTCCATATAATAGTTGAGGATTTTTAAAATGTTTATTTGCCAAATAGTGTAGATAAATGGCCAGGTTCTTCCTCTCCCTTGGATTCATCTATTTTTTCATATAATTTGAGAACAAGGGGAAGACATAGCAGTTAATCTTATGGAACTTGTATAGTCACCCAAATTCCTGGTTGTTTATACATGGCGTCTCCATTCAGGAATTAACTAATCTCTCTTGAAAATTATCCAGTTAGATAGTTTTGCATCCACTTGGATCATAAACCAAGATGTGAATGGGGAATAGACTATTAGGTCTTGGCTGAGTAAGCGCCAACCAAGAAGTATTTAGTGGACATTTAATAGGTGCCTGGGATTGTGTCAGAGCGAATATGAGACGTGGTTTCCGCTCTCAAATGCTTACCTGTTCGTTCAACAAGAGAATGTCTGGTAATGGTTGCTCAGCTTAAGTGCAAGGGTGACAGGTCTGGGGGACGCTTTGGGAGGCAGTGTGGCGTCACAGAAAACGGAGTGGACGCAGGGATGAGAGACCTGGATTCCAGCCCCTTTTCTGTCACTTGTTCTGTAGCCTTAGACAATCTCTTGACTTCTTGGGCTTTAGCTTCCTCCTCTCTATAACAAGAGGGTTGGACTGTTGGGTTTTATAGAAAAATATACAAATTTCTGGGTCCCAGGCCAGGCCTGCTGAATCTGACTCTTCGTGAAGAGAACTTAGGAAATCGGTTAGCAAAAAGCTGACCTGGTGAACCTGGGGACCATGGCCAGTAAGCTTTGGAAACCACTGAACTGGAAGATGTCAGAGGTCCCTTCTCTTTTTGTGATCGTGTGATCATATAATGTTATTGTATTGGTTATTCTACATCAGTGTGGGTACTTGGATGTTTATCATATTGTTTATCTGTGTTTACATATGAATTTGTATAAGAAACACGTTTTAGTGTATGTACCTCAACCCGTTGTTTCCTAGCGGTTTTAGCAGTCTTTGGAACACAAATAGGTCTTAGGAGGATATTCGTTGTTATTTACCTGGACATTTTTCTTCCATTTTATTTATTTATGGGAAATCGAGGCTCTGAGAGCCAAAGAAATGGAAGAATACAAAATTTGTATTTTGTTAAAAAGTTAAAAGTTAAAGAAAAAAATTACATTATTTCTTACTATCTGCTACTTTATGATGTAAATTTAAACCTATGGGAAGACTTTTCTCTTGGGTAACAGGTCATCTTATCATAAAGTAAGATGTCCTTGTTAAAGTAGGTGTTTAAGGCCTGTAATTAAAAATAAGACCACCTTCTCCGAGGGTTGGTGATGTGAATGGCACCCCCACAGTTCTCCAGCACTGAAGAGAAAACTTGCATTCCCCAAGCACGGGAGGGGTGGTAGAGGAGAAGGGGACGGTACAATGGAAACTCGTGTGCAGAAGAGGGGGCGGAGGAAAAAGGAAGACAAACTTCTTAAAGCAGATATGCCTGGGGCCGTTCGAAGGCAGGGTTTCTATGGGTCTCTGGGGACCGTCGCTCTTGTCAGAGAGTCGGATTTTAGAGAGTGAGGCTTCCTGCAGGGAGTTAGCATTGCCCTTGTTTGTTCTCCTTCCAGATGTCTTACTGGGAGAAGAGATGGGACAAGGGGAAAGACTCCTAGCAGCCGAAGGGTTTCTCTTGAGTCAGAAAGCAGCCGTAAAAAGTTAACCAGCAAAAGTGGCCAAGGTAGTGAAGAAGTGGGAAAGAAATATATTCCTCCTTCCTGGTCATAGTAAACACCAGTATTTGTAGCCAGGTTACTCAAGAACCCCATTTGATTTCCTGGCCCTTTGTCTTGGCATGGGGACATTTTTATTTCATCCTATTTTAAAGTCTTCATTTCTCTTATAACGTAAATCAAGGAGAAGGGCCAGTTGTGGGGGGATCATCCTTTCAAGCACCACGACTTCAGATATAATTCTCTCGTACCTTTAAGTGCTGTCTGCTTTCACTTTTTATTTATTCTAGAGGGATTATCTGGAGACTTAACTGTCCTTGGTTTTATTTTATAAAATGGCCTAGTACTGTGGAATTTTAACTTCAGAAAGTCTTAGCGTCATATCATAAACATTTATTTTTTAACAAGTCACATTTGAAACTTTTCAGGGAAGTTGTGGTTACAGGTAGATTGGTACAAAGGAGCACATTTTGTACTGCGTTTCCCACGTCTGGTATCTTGTTCAACATTTTTTATTTTTTTGCCTGAAGAACATCCTATATTTATGAAAACATTCTTTAAAAACACCACCACATAAAATATCCCTTTACTATCAGATTGCTCTGATTTAGCCTTAATTTTGTTAAACTTTTAGAGATGAATGAAGTGCCGCTGTGGAAAGATA